ATGAATCTAACCTAAAACCCTAATGAGAGTATGTGCACCTTGGCGCCGGTTTCTAATATTTAAACCTGGAAGAAACTACGGCCTAAAGATCCAGAAAGAAGTTAGGAATTTTTCCCAGTACAAAGATTAGAGCCTTAAATTAAGTTCATAAATTTACAACTTCACCAGAGCACCCGCTCGTCTAGTCGGGTGGTTAGTGCAGTTATGAACTTAACCCATTTTCTCGGACTTTTAATTCATAAACCAGAGCACCTGCTCGTCTTGTCAGGTGGTTAGCGCCGAATACCAAGTACTTTGGAAAGGATAATCTTAGACTCAACAAGGTTAGGGTTAAACAAGAGTGCAACGTCTTGAAAAACTCAAGGGTATAGATTATATCCAAGCTAGACGAAACTTGAAAGAATTTTTTTTTTTTCGATTGTTTTATTTATATTTGATCTCGATCGCTTCGTGTAATTCATCAAATAATACACATAGTTTTTAATAAAGCCACATAATTCTCATCCATTAAGAACTTTTTAGCTCCAAACAATTTGTTTTCAACTTTATTAATAAAAAGACTTATATAATTGGTTATTACATGAAGCAAAGCATATTTGTTAATCAATCATATCTGATATACTGTAGAATTTAAACAATTTCTTGAATTTGTCCTTCTAGAGACCTTATGGTAACATTTTAAAGACGAATTGCTGGTATCTGATTTTAATTCCTTTGAAGAACTTAAACAAGAGCGGGTGATCAATTTTTTTGGAATCCCTTTGGCTATTGAAAAGGTTTGTCATGTTTTTCAACTGAGTAATGACTTAATGACGCGCTTGATTTTAATAAAGAACCTTTTTTATTTATATTTATTACTATATTAGCTTATGGTGTTTGTGTTTTTCATTTGTATGGACTCGTTCTTGTATACTTTTACAATACTTCCTTTGCGCATATTATTAGTATTATATACAGTAACGGTTAAGTTCATATCAAATTTCAGGCATGAAGAGAAAAGGTATTTCTATTTTCTTAATATTAAATATGTATTTTTTATGACAATTGCTGACTTTCACTTTTAAAGATCTATTACCTTAATATGTCACAAAAATGCGATTTACTCAAAGGGGTTTTGATCATTCTAGCTTGCATTTCATTACAAAGCGTTGATGCAGCACAAATGTACCATTCAATACGTGGCCAGTCTGTTATCAAGTTATATGTTATCTTCAATGTTCTTGAAGTAAGTCATTTGTGCTAATTTCTAAATCAACCATCTTTGATTCGCAATTTAACTTAATGCCATATACAGTAATTATTATTTAGATTTTCGATAAGCTTTTTTGTGCGTTCGGAGGCGATATTTTAGACTCTCTGTTTTTAAAGTCTACGCTTAGTGATGAAAAGTCTTCACCTTCATCCAGACATTTGCGGCCGATCAGTCATTTTTTTGCAGCTTTTTTCTATATCTGTATCTTTTTAAAATAATAGAAATAGACTGTTTATAACATTATTATATTTTTTTTCTTGGTTCCTTAATGACCTTTTGAAACTTTATAGTATATCACATGATAATTTTGTTCTATCAGGCGATTACCCTTAACGTTGCAATTAATTCGTACTCAAACGCATTACATTGTCGAACGGTCCCAACGCGTCCTTTTTCTAACAGTGATTACAGTTCGCAATCTGTTCGAGCTTTCTGGTTCTCCATCATCTCCCTTTTCTATTTTGCCGACTTCATTCATTCCTTTATTTTTTGCAATGACAACAGTCGAAACACTGTTGACTCCAGTAATTATAGTATCGGCGTCTGAATTATTGGTTGATTGGTTAAAGCATGCCTTTATTACGAAATTCAATCAGATCCGACCAAGTGTTTACTGTATCGTTTTATCGACATACTTTTAAGAGATTTGGTAGTTGGGAATAACGATGAGCCGAGCTCAGAAAATCAGAAAGTAAAATAAATACTTTGAAATGTGATTATTAAATTATTTATATGGTTCTTAATTTTTATATTTATTATTACTATTCTAGAGATTCACTGATCAATCTCCGATGGTCTCACGCAGAATCGGCTTCGCTGCACTTCCGCTTGCATGCCTAGTAAGCATAAAATAAATAAACTCTTTCAATTCTTTATTATAATGTTTCTGTAATAATTAATTCATTTATCATGCAGACGATTCGGGTTACGTCACAAATCGTGACAATGATCTCAGGTTCAATTCAAGAGATAGATGCGAAGAACGTTCAAATTTGGCCTTTACGAGTGTTTTCACACAACCCAGTGGTGTGGGATCTTTTGTGGCTTTGCCATATATGTTCTTTCTTTAATATATATATTTTTTAATTTGGTACTCTACTCTGATGGAAATTATTGAACTCTATTTAAACTCTAATCTAATAATCTATTTGATATTTACTGACTAATTTTCATAAAACTATTAGTTGAAATTAATCTTATTGGGTTTGCCCTGCGACTATGGAACGTCGTGAAGCCGAGGAACGTGTTAGAACTCAGGAATTAGATGCACATGTCGCAAAGGAGAAAGAGCAGAATGTAAATATTTATTTTTACTTTCACAATTTATATTTTTATAAGAAAAAAAATGCTGATTTATTTTCTTTTTTATAGCAATTAGGCAATCAACTTTCGACGAACCTAAAGATAATGTTTTAGGCCAAAAAAACCAGTTATTACCTTAGACAATATTGACCGCTATACATTATTTAAAAGCCATATTCCATGAATTTGTCTTAAGAATTATATTAGATAGATATATTATAACCTCTATTGTTTTTTTTTAAGTTAGTTAGTGTTTAAGTGAATATTTTCATGATATTTAACGGAATAAATTTAGAGATTAATCTTATTCTTAAATAGGATAATTCAATATTTATTAGGTCATTTAAAATTAATTACTGGTAGTTGTTTTCTTTTCAAATAATAAGTAAAAAACTAACTATAAAAATAATTTTATTGATTATATGATCTTTATTATAATTCAAGTATATATGGACTCTCAAAAGTAGAAATCAGAGAATTTGACATTGAAAAAAAGTTTATTGCAATTTTTACAGCCTTATCTCAATTTTAAGATTCAGATTTATTTATTTTTTTAAAAATTATTGTAATGGCTTTAAAATTAAAGAAATAGATTTCAGAAATTTAATATTAAAAATCCTGATCTATTACATAGATATTAAAAATAATTGGCCAGAATTTACATCTTAAGTATTATTTCGGAATTTTATTAGTTTGGGATTTAGTTACGGCAAAATCCCAAACTAGTTTGGCCAGTTTGGGATTGGGCAAGTGCCAAAACTACCGGGTTTAGTTTATATCTCTAATACAAACTTAATTATTTGGTTTTCATAACATGAAAATTTTAAATCAGACCCGGCCGGCTGGCTTTTTTTTACAGCTGTTTTCATAATTTCTGAAACACCTGATAAAAAATTTGCCGTGTGATTTTTTAGCCGATTCGATTAAGTTAGTGATTTCGGCATGACGGTATATAAAAAGATATAAATTGTACAGTCAAATAATAACTCACTTTTTTATAACGAACCTACTTTATGCCGAATTTTTCTAAAAATCTTATTATAGAGATCGTATAGTAACATAATAAATTACTCTATTAAATACTTTTAAAAATTTTTTACTATAAGAACTGCTAGTTCTTTATAAAGAGTGTTGACCGTAATATTACGATAATTTTATTATTACTATATAATGCAATAATGTCAGCATGTTCAACATTATTAAATTTCTTTTGAATACTTGTGTAACATGTTTGGTATGTTTAGTTTGTATGAAAATTTATAGAAAAAACAACCAATATACATATTTATCTTTGTAAAAAATATAAAAAAGCATTGTCTATATATTAGGCATTTAAATTGCATAATAGATACTATTATTAGAAAGTTATATATGATCAAGAATTTGTTGATTGATTAAAAAATAACTTATAACTCAAGTTGGAATTCTATTTTAAAATGATTTTACTAACTTGGTTTCTTTTGCAAGTTTTGAAATCTATAATTAAAATATTTAATAAATCTGTAAAATAAATAAATAAAACTTATATAATATTATATTTTTATTTATATATCTAAACTAATATATAACTTTAAAATTATTATAAAACTAATTTTATATTCTAATTAATATTGCAAATACTATTTAAAAAATTTTCTTTTATTAAGATATTATATTATTTATGTTTAGTAAATATAGTTCTTTCAAAAGTTTTTCAACATATTTATATTTTTGAAAATACTTAGATCTTAATATATAAAAAATATATTAACATCTAAGTATTTAGTATTTTTTAAATATAATAAGCTTTCTAAATATTTTTCAATTATTTGTTATTAAATTTTTTTTTTTTTTGTATTAAAGACAGTTTATATTACTAAAAGAATTTTATTAGTATTGTATATAGAATTATATATTGATAATTACTACTATTTATAATTATAAAAAGAGTATATAACAAATCATATTTCTACTAGTTAATTGATTTAGTCTTTTTCTAGTATCTAGCTAATTCTAATTATCTTTTACTTAGAAATCTCAAAACTTTCTATCTTTATTAGACTGAATTTTCTTTTCAGATCAGACTTTAACTAATATAGTCTTATAGGAAGATTATATTATTTTACTAACTCAGAATTTTTAATATTTAGATTTTTTGCTTATATATCTTATTAAAATTTATTTGTATAATATTATATTATATTTCTAAGTTTAAATTAATTTGTATAATTTAATTTACAAGAGTATGTTTTCAGAAATAAACAGGATTTACTATAACATGTTATAAGATTTGAAAAATTATTCAAACTCCTTAACAGTAGAATTTGAACTAAAGATCTATTGTATAGTAATCTACTAATATAACTATTATATTAGATTACTAGATCTTATTAAATATTTTTTTTTTGTTATTAAGGCCACTTCCTTAGCCGATTAGATTTTTATTAGTTTGTTATTATAAAACTATCACATGAACAGTTTCCTAAGGTTTTACAGTTACATAATGAGTGTACAACAAGCCACACATACAACTTTAGTCATTGTCTAATTTAAGTAGTC